TGTTTAATCTCCATGGCAAGTATCTGTGAACAGCAGCTCTTGCAACAGGACATAAATCTCAAACATCTTTCATCACTTTTCCTAGTTATAAGCACGATAACTAGAATGTATTTGAGAGTCACAAATCCAAGCAACTGAAATAGTTTCTTTAAGCATATATGTAGTCTTTTCCATTCAATTCAGCTCAGAACTGAATTCCTCACACAAAGACGTGTCTCAGACTGCCTTGTCAGGAGCCCTCTGTGAACAAGGCAAACCCTTTACAGCATGGTTTTGTGCTTCCAGTAACGAAATAGTTAATACCAGTCCCATAAAAGCAAAGTGAGTCACCTTCTTTTAGTGACACTCTTTGGTTTTGTCTTTCAAGACCTGTTGCTGTGGGAAAACTTTGCTTTTGGGGCTCTGGTTAGCTTTGTGGCAGGCAGGTAAACACTTTCAAAGTTGTAGAAATTATATCAAATGTAGCTAAAAGGTGTTTACCAGGAAGACAGACATTTGGAAACTCTGTATTGACACCAACTCACTTCAACCACTGCTACAAAGCATAGCTGGGTTTGAATTAGAATCTCAGCGATCTCAGGTGATGATAATTGCTTTGTGGTAGTGTAGTTTGGCTAGATGAAGAGATATTCCTCCTCTCACTACACCCACCAGCCATGGTCAGGCTTAGCCTCTGCCTACAAATTATTGCATCACATTAGATGTTTTAGCTTCTTTGCCTCACGTATTGATATGACAGTACTCCTGAGGGAAAACAACCTTTTACTATTATTAGTTAGTGCCTTGACCCTGAAACTTCTGTTGTCAGCCCCTTAAGGATGGAGAGCACATGAAAATGCTGCCATGCTGCTGGTCTTGTATGACGATGAGGCGATCAAACATGTTTAAGCTCCCTAATAGAGATGCTACACACACAGACTCCATGGTCTATAAAAGGAATTACAAAAATCCATCCGAGATGTAATGTAATGAAAACATGAATAATTTTATATTCTTCCATGAATCCTGGCCTCAGCTTTGCTGATTTCTACAGATGTCAGAATGACATTTTTGATACACTCCAAGTAAAACATTCAATGAATGGCCTTAACTTTATGTTCAAAATGTCATGAATATAAAACTGGCAATTCAGGTTTCATGTGTTTTGCAGATTTTTAACCCCAGGAAATATTCAGAAATACAGGACTGACTGCCACTTTGATTATGCAGGTAAATCAGCAATGGTTTCCTTGGGGTTTTATGGGACTGAAGAGAGATCTTTTGTGTCAGCTTTCTAACAGGGGATTCCCATTGACACAGAGCAGCACAGGACTGCTCCCCCACAACCCTGGTACATAACCAGGCTGGGCAAAATCACTCAAATAAAGTGTAGAAAACAAAATGAAACTGAACAAAACGAAAGACTGGAAACATTTCAGACAACAAATCTTCAATGCCTGAAACAAGTCAACAAACCTGCTAAGGAATAAAAAACCAAACCAACCCCACAACCCAAGAGAAATATATGAAACTAATTTCTCAGCAAAAGATCCCAGCAGATCATGTTTTCACAGTGGTTTCCAAGTCAAAAACAAGATTTACGGTCATTGCTCCTACAGAAGTTTTCACTGAGAAGTGGAAACCTATTCCAGAGACAAAATGTTCAAAACTAGTCAACACTTTCAAAGGGAAATAAAGTTGCTTTTTTTTTCCTCAGAAGTCCTGCTGGTTGCCAGTGTTGACACAAAAATCACTCTTGACTGGGCTCCTGAATGCTCAGCAAGCTCAGCAGGGTGGTGTAGTTGTTTTGTTTATTTATAAGCGTGGGAAGTTTCCTACTGTAGCTGCTACCACATTTAAATGATCTTGGCAAGAGCAAAGCATACAGGATACTTCTGAAGAAGGACCATGTGATTGCCTGGCAGGCAATTTCCTCTTTTTTTTTCAAGACCAAAACACATCTTTTCAGCCTCTGCTAAGTGTTACTATTTCTGAGGACATTTGAAGCAGGTAAAATGGTAGGAGTGCTAGAAGGGAGACAAACAAGTAGTCCAGAAAAAAGCCTCACACTGACCTTGAGGCAGAATATTGAGGGCTCTCCAGGCAGGTTTTTCTTTCCTCAGTACAATCACTTATGGTAAATAAATAAATTACTTAGAATTTCTGCAAGGTATTTTAAAAGTCTTACTATTTTAGCATCCCAGAAAGCCAAAGAGGAAGTCTTTTTAGAGTTAAGGACCATTTTCCTGGATCTGTAGTAAGTCTACAGGCAGAACACTGGCATCTAAATTTATCTGAATTGACCTTTGGAGGAAGCAGGAATGTCTTTCAAGCCAAGCATATATAAATGAAACACCTAGTTATGCAAGGAGCCAGAAAAAAACCAGATCCAAGTTACCTGGAAAGTTTACAGCATTCAAAGTCCTTCTTCCTAAGAGAGTCTGTAAGGCTGGGAGTGACAAATGGTCCTAGAAAGCACAGTGGTGCTGAAGCACCAGGTAATGGATCTTCCAGTGAACACTTATAAGAAGTCTTCATCTCAGGTTTTAATGATTTCTTTGGCATTTCCTCTGTTTTCTAGGCAAAAAGTCAAGGGGATTTGTATGGGATTGCATGTTGCTATGAAGTTACAAAGGTTTCAGCCTCTGTCTTACTGCAAGCATTTGGAGTTGTTTTTCCCCCTTCCCTATTTCACTCTTCTTCACACTATTCAGCGCCTCAAAAGAGAAAAGCATAGTTGTAATCAACTGATGTCCACTAGCAAATTCAACAGGTTAAATGCACAGTGCTTCTGTGTAGGCCAAACATCTCACACTCCTGTTCAGCTCTTCCCTCTCCACTCTGCTGTCTGATTTCCTGACACAGAGGAAAGTGTAAGTTCTGCAGTGCTCGGGGAACGTTTGTCCCCAAAATGTGTTATTTGAGCTGATGGAGGAAGCGAACCCTGCCGTGTTGAATCTTCTCTAACTGTGCCCTTCTGGCCAGTTCTTCTCATCTGCACACGTAGAGCTTAACTCGAGTGCCCGCACTGAGGTGGTCTCTGTGGCAGATTCATCCTGGCAACTTGTAGCTTTAAAACCTGAAGTCCACAGTTTTTATATCACCCAGCATCACTCAGCAGCTTATGCTGACCATGAGTTAGCTATTTCATATGATTATGATGGGAACCTACAATTAGAAAGCAACGAATATGTTGATTTCAAAGTCATCTAAACAGTGTAGTGTAAATTCATGCTATTCCTTGATTGCTGCATTGATCACTTATGATTTTGGGATGAAATTAACTAGTGAAATTGCTTTAAAAACCCCAACATGCAAATGTCAGCCACAGACCCACTTCAAAATAATGTGATTTTTAAGTTTGCTCTATACATCTTACGCAAAGGACAGTTCTGAAATCATGCTTCACCCCCCCAGACTGGGAGCTAAACTACAAAGCCAGTGTAAGCCAGCTAGTTTCTAGTGTCTACATGCAATAAGAAAGTGCAATGAGAATGTGCATTCTGGGACCCTGCTGGCTACAAACCACTTCAAAAACTGATCCTCAAATGAAATGCTATCTAGGAACCAATTCAACAGCTGTTGAAATTCAGCCATTACTGTAACAAAGGATGACAGTTGCTTACAGGACCTTAACGTAAAATGATGTTAAACACAGCCAGAAGTACAGCACCAAATGCAACCAGATGAAAATTGTAAATTTTCACAGTGTTAGAACTTGCTCTCAAAGTTATCTAGACTGCTAAATATTTTGTCTGCTCTGAGATATTTTTAAGGTGTTGAGAAACAATTAAAACCAAGTCAAAATAAAATTCTTCTGTTAGCATGCCCTAGTTGTTAGAAATACAACTTATTTTCCCCTGCCAGAGTTTTGGGAAGTCTCAAGGTGATATAATTTTGGAGACAAAAAGGAAAAGCCATGAAAAAAGCCAAACTTCTCCATTCCTGCTTTATTTCACTTTGTATAACCTCTCAGCTAAAACTGTTCCCATGCTGTGAAAAATCATGCACCATTCACAGCTGCTCAGTAAGCAAACCTGTTTTATGTACTTGTGAATTAATACAAGCAGTAATTACTATATTGAAATTAGAAAAAGATACAGGTGTTTGATAATGGTTTGTAAATGGTCTCTATGCTGTTGAGCGATCTACAATTTACAGTCCCAATAGGCACTGAAATGGAGAATAATCCTTGGGTCATCTCTGTACTGTTACTAGTAAATTGTACCAAAAGTTCATTTGTTTGCAAGGGCTATTTTTATAAGCATTTGTTTTTTTCATTCATTTATCTTCAGCCTCATTAAAAATTAGCATATTCAGCAGCTAAAATGGAATTAAGGTTGGTCAGTTGTATTCCTGACTTCAACAACTATCCAGAATCTGAACCTGACATTGCCCAGACTCAGTGATACAGTATCACAGCCAGACAGAGTGACACACAGCCAGAGAGATGTGCATCACTAAAAACCAGCCTTTCCCTGTGGAGCCACCTTTTTGCTGCACTCACAAGCAATTTGTGATGGAATAACCAGAAGCCAGATCCTGATTTCAATTACAGTGGCCTAATATGCCTGTCATCAAAGCAGTGACTTTAGGTTTACCTCACTGTAATGGAGAGCAGAGTCTTGACTAAATATTCCATATATGCACACATAAAATTGTAATACGACTAGTAAGTGAGAACAAGACTAACATCTTAATGTGCTTATTTCCACTTGTAGCTTGCATGGTATATTGCAATGATAAGCGTTTTTTTCTCGTGCACTCCTTTATTTTCACCTTTGTTCTTCAGGAGGGTTATTGATTTCTCTCCTCTTCAAATGCTGTATGATCTGGCAAGTCAACGGGGAACCATTTCACCGGTGAGGAGTGGATCAGGATACAACCCTGAACAGCAGAACTAAAGAAATGCCATTTTTGGGAGAGCCTGTTGTTGCACCAGCAGTGCTCATGTATGTAAAGAACCCCAAAGCCCCTTGGTGGAGTGATGTCAAAGGCAGTTGGTGTGAAGAAGTGCCTACCTGAAGACGGCGAGGCTGAGAGACCAGAGCACTAGCGGTTTCCTCAGTTCAAATTTTGCTCGTTTGTTCATTAGGTGCCGACCACCAAATATAAAGGCAGCATACAGAGCTGAAAACAGGAACGATTTCTTCCTGCAAAACAAAACCAAAAAACACCTGTCAAGAGCAGAATCACCTATGGACATCACCACTAAGGGCTTGTGTATTTCCTCAAAAGAAAACTCTTTTGAAGATGTTCCTGCATCCTAGCTGAGTTTATAATTTCTGTATGAATCTACATCCCTACACATAGCGTTAGGGCCAGGTGCAGGCAAAACTGACCCTGGGGAAGTTCTGAAAAAGAAGACCCAAATTTGGTTTCCATTCTTCCCCAGTTTCTGAAGACTGAACTTCTGTGAGGAATAGAACAGATATTGCAGAGCCCAGACACCCTTCTGCAAATCCAACATGGCTGATATTTGAACCACCTGATCACATTTTGTGCCTCAATTATCTTTTTCATATAAATTCTTGTTTCCTGCAGGATCCTTGCTAGCTGGCAATTTAGTTACACATTGTTCCCTCCAAGAAGACACTTAAAGATCATGAGCACTGCAACACAACATGATGAGCCTCATGAAAAGCAGAGAACCAACAAGGAGAGGTCAATAGCTCCATAAAGCAGCAGCGACCATGCTGGGTAGCATTGCCCTGTGGCAAAAAGCCCTGCCTGTGAGTGCCAGTTCAGGAAATCCAGTGCACTTGCTGAAAGGTCAGGCAGGGTTTTGTTAAGGAACTCCAATGATACTATTCAAATTGCAAGTTTTATTTTTAAAACTGCCTGATAGTAGTCCAGCTCAGCAATAATCACCAAACATTTGAACTCTGCTGCTATAACTCATTGTAAATCAACCAGTAGAGGTCAAAAATAGATTCGGCCTGGGATTCCTTCCCACACAGCACAGTATTACACTGACTAAGACTTAATTTATGTACAGCATTAATGGTAGCCTAACTGGATGGGCATCTATTCAAGCACAGAATTTTCTCCACAAAATCTATAATTACATTTACAAATATCAATGGACTACGATTTTGCACCAGGAGGTTCTGGTTCTTTCTGGACCCCAAAAAGAAAATGACAAACACTCTCAAGAAAGGTAACTACTTCATTAACATCCCAGAAAAGGCATCAGCAAGGTACAAGACCTTTTGTTCCTTCTGATGCTGGAACCCCAAGATACAGGAGTAGCAGACAGACCTATGATCAGGTCATGGCATGCTACCCATGATTCCTGTTGGTAGCTAGGCTCACCCACATTGTGGTCTTGAGAATTTTTATAGGATTTTCAACTGGATGTTTAAATGAAAGTGTGTTGCTTCACCTCAAGACAAAGACAAGTACATGCTGTGATGTCACTACTGGTTCCAAGTAGGTGCCACCTCCAGGTTCTTCCATTATGATTAGCCAGCTGAGGGTACCCCACAGCCAGTAATACATACAGCACAACACAGTCCTGAAGGCCAAGCAATACGTGCAGCACAGTGTGGCAAAGCACAGCGTGTGCCTGCACCTGCTCAAGGGAACTGGTACATGGAACACAAGACCCTCCCTCAATGGACATGGGTCTTCCTGCCAGGTTCAGAAAAACACATCTCTTTGGAAATACAAAGAAAGCACATGAGCCTTCACTCAAGAGAAATGAATTTTATATAAGTTTGAAAGCTAAGTGAAAACTAAGTCCAAGGAGATGGAGGCATACCAGTATGGATTCAGCAGCATGCCATTTTCTGCCCAGTTCGAAACTCCTCAGTTTCTGCTGATGTATTTATAGCTCTGTGTTGCAAGACAAAGGTAACTGCATGAAAATCCACCCAGTTCTCTGCACTGAGAAGGGAGGACCTGGTGCCTGTGGCTTCCTGGGTGAGCTTTACCATTCACGCTGGCAAAACCCCCAGAAAGACCAGGACAACCACAGGTCCAGCAACCTCTTACCTTGCACATTGAGAGAGTCTAATTGCTATGGCAATGGTTATTACAACCAGATTCTGAAAACCACAAAGCCCTTATTCATCTCATAATACAGAAAAAAACCATTAATATTCACTTCTCTGGGCTTGGATTTCACAGTCAGGGAAGGGGCAGAATCATCACATTTGATCGTATGATTGCAGTTTAGCTTGTCTGGACATCAGTAAATATTTGTTAACTAGTCTGGGTAATGACGAACCACCTCAAACCTGCTGGTATCAAACCGCCTAAATGTTTAGATAATATTTATGGGTTACAAGATAGAAGCAGGCTGTCAGTGTGAGGATGGACTGCATTCTCAGCTTCTTCCCTCTGCAATTTTATCAGCAGCAGTGTGCAGAGCAGCCCATTGTCAACCTGGGCAGGGGCGAGGGAAGGCAAAGGGAGTCTGATGGGCTGTACCCGCAGTCTGCAGTCCTGTCCTGGCTGCCCCTGGGCATCAGGAGAGATGTCTGCTCTGCATGCTTCTGCCCCTTAAATCCCCCAAAAGGCTGGGCTTACAGTCAGTGCAGACAGACAGCAATGCACATGACAAGGTATGGAGATATGCATACACACGTACAGCCACTTGAGCCAGGTCACAAGCAGGGGCTCCACAGGAGGGACCTTGCAGCCCCATGCCATGAGGGAGGTGTAAACCCCCCACCTCACAACACTGCAGTGGGAGTCCCTCATGCCAGAGGCATGATTCATGCAGGGAGCTCCAAAGCAACCAAGAGCAGTGAAGGATGCCAGCTCGAGTAGTGCAGGATGACATCCCTGTTAGTGCAGGATGACATCTCGAGTAGAGCAGGGGAAAAGACTGCAATACAGTGCTGCCATGCAACTGCCAACGGGGAACAGGCTACACAGGCTGGCATGGGAGGGCATCAGGCTTCAAGAGGAGTAGCTAGAGATAACTTTGCAGAAAGGCAGGCAAGAAGCAATTCATTTCTGGATCATATACAGCCAAGACTTCAAAGTAATGGTTTGATTTCAGTTCTAGTTCAAGAAAAAAAGATCAGTTTGATTGAGTTAGTAGCTCAGGTCTGTGTTCTGTTTGACTTCCTTCTTCCTGAGTCAGTCAGATAATCTATATATTTACAGCAAGTAACATTTCTTTTTGCTTCTTATTACTGAAACTATTTTTTGTGAGTTCAGTCAGTTTGTTGAGATCAATAGTTACATTACACTAATTTGAACAGATGAATTTTAGATCACTTTTAACAGTTTTGTAATGAGTTCAGCATTATTTACAATGATGGTAAATTGTATTCCCCCAGTATACAGTTTTGTATCAGCAGTGGCAGACGAGAACATTTGAATGCATGCCTGATCTGAACCACTGAGAGCAGCTGCAGAGTAAGCAGTTTCAGACAAGGAAGGACACAGTAGTATCCATCACTCTGTTTTGACACCTGTTGATAACTTTTGCTAACTTTTTGCATTCAAAGGACTTTGAATTTTCCCCTCTTTGCAGCATAAAAATGGTTGAAAGAACTGGGCAGGCCAGATAATAGAGTTACAAAGGGGTTGCAAAGGTATGTACTCTCAAGATATCTGATTAACTGCATTAGATTGGTATTAACCAGTTTCCTACCAGAGTTTTTATGATTGATTTTCCCAAAGGTTCATGACTATACTCTGGTTCTTGGGCTGATGACACAAAGCAATGGTGATCTGGCAGCACTGAACTATATCTGATAAGATTTTAGCCAAAGGAGAGTAATGTCAAACAAGCATTTTGAAAGACAGAGGTTTGTAGTTGTTCTCGAGCACTGTAAATTTTCATTTCTATTATTTGAAGAGAAACTAAATAGAGCAGAACAATGACAAAAAAATTAACCTTGAGACTAAAAGAATAAAATCCCCCAAAGTAATTCAGTAGCAGACTCGCATCCAGCAATTCATATGTTTGTCTTCAATTCTGTTCTGTAGGGTAACACAGTAGACATAAAGACAGGGCTGCCAAATCCTCCACATTTTTCTGGCATTTCTGCTTCTCACAGTTGTCTCCCACCTTCCTACATTTTCAGACTTCAGGGACTAAGTACTATCTCTACTGAATACAACTCTGTGTTTCCCTGATGAAAGTTGCCAGCTCTTTCCCCCTTTATAGGTTTCTGGAGAACTTATAGAAGACTCTACTTGGGCTGCAGGTTACTACTAGGAAGGGAGGCAAGAGCCTGGGCCTATAGGCTGAAGATAAGAGACAGCTCTTCCAGGTCAGTAGCACAAAGGTGGCTATATCATGAGGCAAAGGGACAGGCAGAAGCAGTTGACATGATGGGAGAAAGAAGAGGAAGGACAAATGGCAAGCATGGCACAAATGAGGGCAGATGGCAGCCACGACACAGATGTGAAGCTGGGACAGCATGGAAGGGAAGGAGGCTTGAAGTCCTTTCTCTCCTGAAGCCCCTGGAAGGATGCTTCCTGTGTCCATGGGCACACCTATGGCAGAGGAACTGAGACAGGAAAGAAGAAAAAGAAAAGAAGTATAACTGAGAAGAAGAAGGCAGAAACTGGGGTTGATAAAGTAAGACAGAGGAAACACAACCCACCAGGAACAAAGCTTCTCCTCATTTCCAGACAGGGAGTCCCACCCACGAAAGCCCAGTCAGGCACAAAGGAGTGACAGGGACAGGTCAGCCACCCAAGCCTCAGGCAGGAAAACACAACACTGGTAATAATCCAAAGAGGAAAACAAATAGCTCAGGAGTAAGAAATTCTGACTGCCCCAGCAGTACGTTATTTATAAAATACTGAAAATACAAAAATTACTACAGAATCCTAAAATAAGAGGCCTGAGGGTGAGCCTCATGTGCAGCAGTGTGAGACATCCCCATGCCTCTGATGCAAAGTGAAATAGCCCTGAATATTGCAGTGCTGTTGAAGGAGGTGGTTTCAGCCCAGATGCACTGTTGCCATTTTCCCCATGAAAATCGCAGACTGAGTCATTATTGTAGAGTTCTCTGATGTTAATGAGTAAACTGAAACAGACATATGTATATGTTATAAAACTGACTATTTCCATAGGTTTTTCCTTAATAGTTAAGGAAAAAATCCTTATGGAAATGCTCAAAGGATAACCTTGTCACAGATCTTTTAACTGTCTTCTCTCACGTAATACAGGATTATCTGTGTAAGAGACAATCTACATTTAGTAGAGGAGTAGTCAAATGAAGCAGTATTAGCCCCTTCTTTTTACATTTTATAGGATTTTTTAAACTTTTTTTTTTAATCAAGAATGCACATGCAAAGCTCATTTTTTAAATTCACTACAACTTCTCCATATGCTGTAAAGGGAGAACAACAGGTAAAAAAAAATCCTCTGCAATTGCCAGAGCAGAGTGCTTCTGGCAAGTAATCATGCAATTTCAGGTTCCTGATGTTCTTTTGGCCTTCTCCATCACCATTTTACTGATGTAAAAAAATAGGCTTACTGAAAAAAAAGAAGAAAAAGGAATGTTTGGTTCTATGAAATATAAGGGAATTTTCCTACTGGTTTCTTCCAGCTTTCAAGAGAATATAAGAACAATCACTTGTGTTTATAATTGAAACTGCTAACTTGAGAGCCTATAACTAAAGTGTTTTAACCTGAACCCATGTGAATCACACAGCATATCCATGTCTGCAGATCACAGGCACGGCTGGTAGCCTTGCAAAGTTACTTTCTCTCTGGTGCTTATTTAAAAATAACACATTCTGTATAAAAAAAAGGGTGTGAAAATGCTTCTCAGTCTCTCGGTGTTTCTACCTCAGAAATGCTGTCAAAACAAACCTTTCTCTCTCTCTACACTACATAATTTTGACAGAACCAGCAAAAAGAGATCCAATGTGTGGATATGTCAGATCTGCATATGAAAATATAATCTGTACTCCTGGTTTTGATTTGAGTTTCTGCAGCTATTTCCCATTGACCATACCAGCCCTAATAATGGAGAGAGAAGGACACACAGAAGAGGATATACACATGCCTACTGATTTATTCCTACAGCCCAATATCCTTTGACATTTATATTTAGCACAGCAATGATGACAGTCACACACACGTGTAGGTGACTCACTGATGATGGTCTTTGACGTAACAAGCCATCAGAGAGTAAACAGGGATGTATCTCATACCGATCATCTGATCCCTTGATTTCTAAAGACTGCCTCTCAAAAGACCATTTCAGCCTCCTCATGGCAGGTACTGTTGGATGCGCAGGTCTGTGCTTCCCCCAGTGCCAGAGCAGCTCTCCAGGCACCTCTCTCCCTGCTGGGAGCAAGGGAAGAGGAGTCAGGGCCCTTGGAAGACATACCTATCAGGGACTGTTATTCCCCCACATCTGCCTTCTCTCTAAAATCCTGTTCCTCTCACCCAAGTCATGTCATAACTGACAGACGGTACTTGTGTCATTGCCCCAACTCCTTAACCTACAGAAAAGAAAGCAACACGGTGCTGTTAGGCTGCCAGAATGACTGTTGTGGGAACTGTCCCAAGCTTGACTTGGCTGAAAAGGATGGAGGATGAGCAAGACTTGTGTGTGCACTCCTTGCTCCATAAGGGCTAACAGCTGAGCTGAGGCACAGCCTAAATTCCAGGTCCCTCATTGCCCACGTCTGAGAGGGAAGGATGAGAGCTGCAGGGACAATGACCTCTGAAGAGCAGAGTAACTATTTTTTTGTGGTATATCACCAGATCATAGCCCGCTCTGGTCCAGTGGAGGTAGCATCAGTTCCCCACCAGTCACCTTGCTGCCCTCCCAGGGAAACAAGCAGCTGTGCCCACCTGAACCTCTGCCCACATTGCATTGAATCAGATCCAGGAGCAGAGAAGCAGTCTTGCGTTGGCAGGACAGGAAACAACCCTAAAATTACAGAGGAGAAACAAGGGCACGGCAGAGTGGAGGCATGGGAGAAGGTGGCTCATGTCCTGCACCTCCCTGATGGTTGACTTTGTTTTGTTGAAATGTTTGCCAGTAGTTTGTAACACTCATTGTTCATAGAAAATACCTGTTACAGAGTACTAGCCATATACTTAAAATGTGTGCAGCTAGGGACAAAAACAGCAGCAAATTTTTCTTGCTTTTTCTGTGAGTGGGAAAATGTAAGAGAAGCATAAGGGTGAGAAAAGAAAGTTAAAATTCAGGAACTTTTTTTTCAGAGGCAAACTCAGCTCTGAAGCACATGAAGTCCCTCATTCTTTATAAGCCTTATATAGGCTTGATGGAACAAACCATAAACCCATAAAAACCTCATAAGCTACAATCCCAAATGTAAAAAACATCACAAGAGAAAAGAATCTCTTAAATAGAAAGCACTTCAGAAAACAAAAAAAAAACAAAACAAGCTCCAGAACTCTGGGTTTTGAAACCAAGTTGCCAAAATTCTGTTATCACTAGAAGGAAAATCAGCTTCATCTCTGGCTCTGCCCCACATTTCCTCCACTTTTAAATTATGCTTTGAATGGGGATACACCCAGTGGAGATAGCAGATGATAGTGTGCTTGCAGTGACAACAGCCACCCCTGAGTTTTCACCTTGCACAGACAGCAGTGGGTTGGATTGCTGGGATGAGCCCTACCATACCCTCCTACCCAGTTGGCATCCCAGATGACACGGTTCAGCCTGAGTCAAAGCCTACGTCATCCCACCTTCAATGCCCCCACTCATCCCCAGGGATGGGCCAGTATCTGACCTCACTGTTCCTGACACTGATCATATGTAACAAGCACTTTTGCACAACCCTCCCAAGATTTATATTGCCAGAGGTAGGAGTTGAATCTAGCCCGAGAAGAGTCATAGGAGCCTACTGGGAAAATTATGACCATTCCTGTCCCTGTTAATAGCCTTTACAGCAGGTCAGTGTAGTCTGAGAAACTCTTAAAATTCTTAAAAAACTCTTAAAAAAACCTCTTCTAAATCCATTCATATCACTCTGACAACAGATCTATTTCTTAAGACAAAGGCTTGGGATTATAACAGTGACGAAGTAGGATGTCCCAATGTCCCCTTGGACCCACCATGGGTTTTTCCAGGCTTTGCTGAGGCTTTCAGGCAGTCAGTGGAGAGATGGCAGAAAGCAGAGAAGCTAATGTAGGTCATGGGCACTGGAGGTCTGATGAAAAGCTACAGTACTTTCACTTCTAATTTCATCAATGTAAATGTAAACCTCTGGCCTCCACAGTAAAAACTAGTAAACACAACTGCAAGTGAACTTAGGGACTACTAACCTACATCTCTCCAAGTTGAAGTCATTCTGTTTGTTCCTACATCTCATTTGAAAGCAGTTAATGAAGATGCTAGTGTAAGTATGTCATACAGACATAGCACGAAAATAACTCATCTCCAACCACCTTAGTTCTTTGATCTGCTTTATCTAATCAAATCAATCAATGATTGCAACATTTAATAACTTTACACTTAAGGGAGTGTAAAGTCCTTCAGCTCCAGGAAGCTCCCTGAAGAAACTCATAAGTGTTATTTATATAGACAAGTGCTGCTTTTTTAAACCGCTTAGCAGATATGTATTTGTTTGTTTAAGAGGACACAACACAACAAAAGTAACAGATCAATAAGAATACTTTACTGAATTTACCTTTGCACTTACAGAAAGCCTATCCATCACAGTGGCATGATCAGGTTTCTCTATTGCAAATGCAACTTGTAAACAGCCTTGGAAATAATGTCTGTTGGATCTCAAAAAACATTTAAGTAAAAAAAAAAAGTAGTCATTCAAAATGAAACATGGAAAATGCAGGGATTGCAACCAATGTGTTATTCTTCCACCTGTCTGCCCTAAAAGGCATTCCAGCAGACATTGCTTCTTTCCAGCCTTCTGCAATACAACCTCAGAAAATGATGTTCCTACAACTGTCAGTGGTTTGCCAAACACAAACAAATAAAAACTGTTCTGATTTTCCTGGGAGCGTTCACAGCCAAAATAGACATGTATGATTTTCCTGTGGAGCAGAGCACAATTTTAGAAACAGGGCATCAAAAAGTAATGTATAAATAAGCCCTTACAGTTAGGGCTTGGTGACCACCTGGAAAACATCACTCCATAACACTTTCAGTGCTGGAAAACAATTAAATTATCCTGGAGGAAAACAAACTGAGGGAGTGCCTGAAAAGCATAATAATTTACAATATATACCTACCACCCTTCTCTTACCCATCTAAAGACCTAAAACCATACAGACAGATCAGAGCAAGCCAGGAATACAATTGGTGGCCTATTTGATTAAAAGGGGATGCTGGTACTAGTGACATTGCAGTAATGGAGCTGTGGAATCAAATGTCTTGCTTTCAAACCCTGTGAATGCTCAGGTGCCCTGTGGAAGAGAAGGGAGCAAATTGAACTTATAGAAAAAGACATTTTGGTAGAGAAGCAAATGAAAGAATATCTTCCGGCATCCCTTACTGAAGAAAAATCAGGTCATCTGGAGAACAACTGCTCTGATTGGTCCCACAGTACGTTTTGATGCATGATGTCAAGCACTGTTTGATGTATCCAATAAAATCTTCAAGGACATCTGACCTTTGTCTATTGCTGAGAGAGCAAGTGACAAAGGATGCAAATGGAAATGCTGTAGTGAACCTGGACCTAACTCTTGACTGATAGGAAACCAGAAAAAAATAGGGCAATCTTGTCATAATCTTTTCAACTACCTCTCTAAAACAAAGAGCTCTACCCAACAGCCATTTTCCTTCTTAATCAACTGGGAATCAGGTAAGAACAGATACAAAGGTGTTTCAGTGGAGCTCTAAACTTGCAACAGGAAGCAGTTCAGAGTAGCTAGGGGGTAGGTTTATGTGCTGCTACCTCCTTTCAACATGATGCTTTGCCACTTGTCCAACAAGTCCACTGGCAGAGAGGGTAGCATATGCTGACTAAGTTATCATTAACAAATGGCAATTTCATGAACTAAACCTTACCACTGCTTACGTAAGAATTTTTTGCTTTTCATTCCCAGGAGGCTTCAGTCCCCAGAATAATCTACTAATAAATTTCCCAGTACTTTCAACCTGTCACAATTCCCATGTTATTGATCATAATTTACAGCTTCTCCATTAAATCCAGAATTGTCTCACTTGAAATCAGTCACGGCAGTACCTTTAAAGCAGACCCTTTCAAAGGTGAAGGAAGAGGCAAACTGGCCTGAATCCGACTAAAATTCTTTGAGGAGTACATTAAACACAATGAGAAATTCTGCAAGCAATAAACTAGTATGAGTAATTTTCTAATTACTGTCAGAATTTTCAGGATCTGACATAGACAAAATGTAAGAGGCAGGATGACATTCCTAAACCTGTAGTAGAAAAAATGAGAGTAAGGAACATAGTAAAAACTACACAATCACCAACACCCATTCCTCAGTTAAATATCACAGCCTGGTTGTTTCCTGCAGACATCCCACTTGCAGTCCTGAACCAGCCTGAAACAATCAGAATAAACCATCAGGAGTGGCACAAAGCAGTACAAAGTACATGGCATTAAAGTAGCTTATCTCTATCCTGTCAGCAATATGTTTGTGACAGCTTGTCCTGGCTTTCCACATCTGCCTACAGCTTCATGCTTGGCATAGGCCCCTTCGTCCCTCTCTCGAGGTGGTAGGACCTGCCAGCTCTCCAAACTAAAGAGTTTTGGTCCTTTTGCTTCCAGCTCTGAAGGTTTGGCTGACTGCATTCTGCCCTCAGGCACCCCCTCACCTAATCAGATGGGATCCTAAACTGCTTAGCAGTATTTCACTTTCCATCGCAGTATAAGAAGACCAGGTTACTAAAGGATTAGCAAGTATAACATTAAAGTGTTATATATACAAGAGAGTTGCCTGTCCTAGTCTCTGCTAAATCTTGGTCACGGGGGACCTGTTAAAAGATAGGAGATGCCAAAAGGAAAGAAATCACAGACAAACAAGGTGATGAATCTTGACTATGGTGGAAGTGGCTGCACACACGACCTCATGAGAAGGAAAAGGAGCATTACCAGGAACACATTTTTAAAAAATTCACATATATCAACAGTCAGAACTTAATAGCTGTGATCATTAAGGGGCAAAAAGGAGAAAAATATTATCTCAAACGAATAAGAAAGCCTGTTAGCATGTCACTGATACTGCTTCAGATTCTTTTCAAACAGCCTCTCATGAAGGCAGAGAAATCAAGCAAGTTACCT